AAACAAACAAACAAACAAAAAAACTCCTTTAGCCATTCTACCATTTGCCAGGGCATCTTCTTCCAGTTTTCTCCACTTTCTTCTCTCCCTTTCTTTCTTTCACCCAAACTCCTGCTCATGTCTAGTGCAGGGCAGAAGCTTTCCTTTGCCTTCAGTCACGCTGGAGGCTCTCACCTGCTTACCAAGTGGCTTGTTCCATGTCTCCCAAGGAAAAGACAGCTCTGCCCTGTAGTGAATTATGGTACCAGCCGAGACAATTTGTTTGTATCCCCCTAGACTTCCTTCGTTTTTTTTTTGGAAACCAAATCTCGCCCTGTTGCCCAGGCTGGAGTGCAGTGGCATGATCTTGGCTCACTGCAACCTCTGCCTCCCAGATTCAAGTGATTCTCCTGCCTCCCAAGTAGCTGGGATTATAGTCACGCACCACCACGCCTGGCTAATTTTTTTGTATTTTTAGTAGATACGGGGTTTTACCATGTTGGCTAGGCTAGTCTTGAACTCCTGACCTCAAGTGATCTGCGCACCTCAGCCTCTCAAAGTGCTGGGATTACAGGCATGAGCCACCACACCTGGCCTAGACTCCTTTTTAAAGGATTTTTAAAAATATGTATCTCGCATTTTTAGATGTTTTGTCATGAGTTTAGGGCATCCTTTAAAATTTTAAAATACATGTACCTATGACCTGGTAATTCCGCTTCTAATAATCTATCCTGTAGAAATGTTCATTGCAAGAGTATCCCTTACAGCATTAATCTGTACCAGCAGAAATCGAAGAAAACTTCAATTTCAGTAGAGAAATAGGTAAATGTTGAAGTGTCCAAAATAAGGATACACTGCTGCTATGAAAAACCATGAGGAAGATTTTACACCTTCTGATATGAAATCAGAAGGGGATTTCATATCAGATCTTTCTGATATGAAAGACTGTCAGCCAATGACATCTAAAAGTTAATCAAGAAAATGGTGGCTTACGCCTGTAATCCCAGCACTTTGGGAGGACAAGGAGAACACCTGAGGTCAGGAGTTCGAGATCAGTCTGATCAACATGGTGAAACTCTGTATCTACTAAAAAATACAAAAATTAGTCAGCCAGGGTGGCGGGCACCTGTAATCCCAGCTACTCAGGAGGCTGAGGCAGGAGAATCGCTTGAACCAGGAGGCAGAGGTTGCAGTGAGCTAAAATTGTACCACTTCACTCCAGCCTGGGTGACAGAGTGAGACTCAGTCTCAAATAATAATAATAATAATAATAAAATTAGTCAAGAAAATATCACAGGCAATGTAGTTAGCAAGTGAAAATTAAAGTTGTAAAACATTATGTATAGGGTGATTCCATCTTTATTTTTGTGCCCATTCTTAACCATCACAGTCGTTTCTCCTCACATCAGTCAAAAAGCCCTTAACAGATTACTCAGATTATGTTTCACCCCAGCTAAGAATCTCCCAATGGCTTCCATGACTCTTAGAAAAAAGATCCCAGCTCCTCACCATGGCCATGGCCCCCTCTCCCTCTGCACCACCACCACCCCATGTGAGCGACCTCATTTCTGCCCCTCAATCAAGTACATATTGGCAGCTGGATCTGTTGCACCTGCTGTCTTCTTAGCAAGGAGCATCTCCTGATAGACCATGCAATGGCTCCCTCCCCAACAGCATTCAGGATCCCTGAGGTCTCACCTCCTCAAGCCTTGGAAGCCCAGTCCTCTTCTCCTTAGCTTTCTCCATACCCTGGCCTGCTTGATCTTATTAGTATTCATCCAACTATAATGCAAACTCCATGAGGGCTGGAATTTGTCTTGTTCTCTGTGGAATCTCCAGCACCTAAAATAGTATTTATACATAGCAGTCATTCAATACATATTTGCTGAATCAATTATTAACATTTGGCTCACGTCCGTAATCCAAGCACTTCAGGAGGCTGAGGTGGGAGGATTACCTGAGGTCAGGAGTTCCAGACCAGCCTGGCCAACATGATGGCACCCATCTCTACTAAAAATACAAAAATTAGCTGGGCATGGTGGTGGGCACCTGTAATCTCAGCTACTTGGGAGGCTGAGTCAGGATAATCTCTTGAACCCTGGAGGTGGAGGTTGCAGTGAGCTGAGATCATGCCACTGCACTCCAGCCTGGGCAATAGATTGAGACTCAGTCTCTCTCTCTCTCTCTCTCTCTCTCTATATATATATATATATATATATATATGCTTTATATATGCAATCTGAGTATATATATACTTTATATATTACAATCTGAGTGTGTGTATATATATAGATATGCATATACATAACACTATCAAACTTTGCATCTCAGTATTTAAAAATTTACTATTATACCTGAAACCCTGAAAACTTTTTTTTTTTGAGACAAAGTTACGATCTTGGCTCACCATAACCTTCACCTCCCGGGTTCAAGTGAATCTGCTGCCTCAACCTCCTGAGTAGCTGGGATTACAGGCATTCGCCACCACACCTAGCTAATTTTGTGTTTTTAGTAGAGACAGGGTTTCTCCATGTTGCCCAGGCTGGTCTCAAACTCTCGACCTCAGGTGATCCACCCGCCTCAGCCTCCCAAAGTGCTGGGTTTACAGGCATGAGCCACCACACCTGGTGGCTGAAGGCTTTTTTAGGCTGTCAACTCTTAGTGAACATTTTAATAGTGGCATACCATTCCTTTGGGTAAAGAGATCAATATCTTCTCCTTGAACATCTAAGTTATTCTCATCTTTTGCTATGTATAGTAAATTGCTGTGGACATCTTTGTGCCTTGGCCTTTTTTTCTTTGAGTAATCTTCTTAGGATGCATCCTAAAACTAGAATTACTGGATTCAAGGACATGACAACTTTGATGCCTTTCTGTTTCTTAATAGATGATGTAAAAATGACAATATCCTTTATTTTTTCCTCTTTCTTTCATCCTCAGTCTTGTGATGCTGGCAGAAGTCCTGAGATGACCTCAAACCTCTTCAACATTTATGGTAGGAGCCCTCTGATTGTGTACTTTCTCCATAACTATGCCAGTCTGCAGCAACACGGCAAGGATGTATTGATAGTCAGAAGGGAAAAGACCACAGGCACCCCATATCCTTGTCACTGTGGGCAGGGTATGTACTGCTCCAGGCCCCTGCTTCCTCTTCCCAGAAGCAGAGGTCAGAGAACGGCACCAAGGCCTTAGCCCAGCGCCTGGCACGCAGTGGGTATTCATCAGAGGTGGCCAGTGGTATGGGCCTCAGGGTCAGAATAATACTCATCTGAGTTCCAAATCTAGAGCCAGCCTCGTGAACTGGCCGTGAGACCCCAGGGTGTGTCAAATTTCCTTATGTGCAAAATCTCTTACACTTACCAGAATGAATGTGCTAACTTGGTGTTCTAACATATATTGAAACTAAATAATGCTTCCAAGATACGCATTGGCCCCAGAGTATGTACTGACCAAGAATTTTGTTGTCCACATGTATGTTTCATCTATCACCCTCCTCAGACATGCTCCTCCCTTAGACCTGTCAGCAAATTCCTGGCCCTGTTGCCATTTATCCTAAAAATCTAATAGAAAGCTCAGATCTTGGGCGGGGCACAGTGGCTCACACCTGTAATCCCAGCACTTTGAGAGGCTGAGGTGCGCAGATCATGAGGTCAAGAGTTCGAGGCCAGCCTGACCTGGTGGTGAAACCGTCTCTTTACCAAAAATACAAAAATTAGCTGGGTGTGGTGGCATGCACGTGTAATCCCAGCTACTCAGGAGGCTGAGGCAGGAGAATCACTTGAACCTGGGAGGCAGAGGTTGCAGTGAGCTGAGATTGCACCACTGCACTCCAGCCTGGGTGACAGAGTGAAACTCACTCCAAAAAAAAAAAAAAAAAAAAGGAAGGAAGGAAGGACACATGTTCAGATCTCAAGAAAACAGGTGTGGCATGTGTTAGCATCCTGAGTCTTAGCAGTTTACCATAGGAGTCAGAGAACATGAGTTCTATTTGGAATCAGATTGGTCTATTGGCTCAAATGGACCTGGACTCAGGAACCAGCAACTGAATGATTTTAGGTAAGTTCCAGCTTCTCTCTGTTCCTCATTTTTTTCACCTGTAAAATAGGGATAAGAGTACCTGCCTCATAGGTCTGTTTTGCAGATTACGGACACAACAGAGATAAAGGCTTAGCACAGTGCCTGGCAGATAACAAGGGCTGGGATGACCAGCGTCTACATGGAGCTCCCCAACAGGAGGAGTTTCGTAATGAACTAGGGAGGACTTTGCATCTACTGCTTCATGGAACTCCATGTCCACACACTTATTTACACATTCTATAGGGAGAGAGTAATAACAACTCACATTTCATAGTGTTTGATTTCTTGCAGCGTGTTTTCCCAAACATCACTTCATTGTTCTGTAAAGACAGTTTCGTGTAGTGGAAGGAACCTGGGTTGGGATACCCAGCCCTAGATTTGAGTCCCAGTTTAGCAGCCACTGGCTTTGAGATCTTATGTGCACAGCTCGACCTCCAAACTCAGTATCTTTATCTACTCATTTAAGATTTGGATAGTTATACCAAACTTATATTTTTGTTGTGATGAGGATTAAATCGCATACAGCTGGTACTACATAAGTAACTACCGTTATTATTAACATCATCTAAAATGGGCATTATTACCTCTATTTTATAGATATGGAAATGGAGGCATAGAGGATGACTGATATCTTGTCTGAGGTCTCACAGCTTGTGGCGAGTGTAGCTGAGATTCTAACCAATCAAGGTGGGTGGAAGGAGGGCAGAGCAGAGGGAGAATGTTGTTGTTTTTTTTTGAGACGAAGTCTCGCTCTGTCGCCAGGCTGGAGTACAGTGGCGCAATCTCTGCTCACTGCAACCTCCTCCTCCCGGGTTCAAGGGATTCTCCTGCCTCAGCCTCCTAAGTAGCTGGGATTACAGATGAGCACCACCACACCCAGCTAATTTTTGTATTTTTAGTAGGGACAGCGTTTCCCCATTCTGGCCAGGATGGTCTCAATCTCCTGACCTTGTGATCCGCCCGCCTTGGCCTCCCAAAACGCTGGGATTACAGGTGTGAACCACTGCACCCAGCCCTAGGGAGAATGTTTCTATATACAAACGAGATGGAGAATGAGGCCTTGACTAAAAGAAAAGGAAAGCTAGAAGCTCTTCCTATTCACCACCATGATAATAGAGTAAGAATTTCAGGTGATAGTCTCAAAAAGTATTTCTTAGTCCTGCCTTCCATCCGCAGGGGCAGAGAAGGGCTTTATTCCTAGGTAGAGAATGCCTGGCCACAGATAGGATAGCCTCTTCCCTCCAAAGCAGGCCATGGTCAAAGAGCAGGAGAGTCATTTTCCGCTCAGATTTCAGGTATCTTATCCAGAAAGGCAGAGCATTTTCCCTTCTCTGTCGTCCATGCCCCTCCTCCCCATGCACTGTGCTCACACCACTAATAATGCAGAGTCAACACAGTTCAACAGTACCAGGATTTCCTTGACAATGGAAGCCACCGAGTCCACCCTGACGTATACTGACGTTATCAAAGAGACCCTGTGCAGCATGAAGAAGCGGAAAGACAACCTCAATCAGTTGTACCAGCTTCACTGGAGTGAATGGAATTATTTTGACAAGTACCTAAAGGAACTGCAAGACAACTTCTCCAGGTATGGAAGGGGCTTTGGGAAACGCCACTGTTTCAGCACTCATCTTTTGCAGCACATTGTCATCATCATTTTTAAATGGGTTGGTGGGGGCGGGGGGGGTTCCCTATAACTGTTGTAAGCACAGTCAGCTTTCTTGCGGTCAGAATATAAACTCCTAATAACAGAGACCAGAGCTTTTTTTTTTTTTTTTTTTTTTTCTTCTTTTTTTTTTTTTTTTTTTGAGACAAAATCTCGCTTTGGTTACCCAGGCTGGAGTGCAGTGGTGTGATCTTGGCTCATTGCAGCCTCTGCCTCCTGGGCTCAAGCAATCCTCCCACATCAGCCTCCCAAGTAGCTGGGACTGTAGGTGTGCACCACCATGCCTGGCTAATTTTTGCGTTTTTAGTGGAGACAGGGTTTTACCATGTTGACCAGGCTGATCTCAAACTCCTGACCTCAGGTGATCTGCCCACCTCAGCCTCCCAAAATGTTGGGATAGGTGTAAGCCACCACACCCAGCCAGAAATTATGTTTAATCTCTTTTGCGTCTTTGAATCTATAACAGTATCCTGCCCTCACCTGTTTTTATTCATTGTTTTTTATGACATGGGTTTTTTGAAAAGCTCAAGCCACGTTCTGCGTTTTTCTGATATTTCCTCAAAGTATTGTTGGATTTGTTCCAATATAGCCTATATTTCTTGTACACTGGACATTGGGTCTATGCTAGAGGTTTGATTGGATTCAAGTTAAATCATTTTGCCCAGAATCTTTCACAGATGATGTGTATTCACGTCACATCCCATTAGGAAGCATTATCATGTCAGGTTGTCCACTACTGGTGATGTTAAGCTTAAACCCTTGGTTAAGCTGGTATCTGCCAGATCTCTGCATTGTAAGAGCACGTGTTTGTCTTTCTGATTAGTCAGTAATAAAGGATGTGATTCTCCCAGACTGTGTGAATGTGCTTTCCCAACATCTTCCATACGATGGTTTTAGCACTCATCAGTGGTCTTTGCCTGATCAACTATTACATTTGAGGTTGTAAAATGGTAATTTTTCTACTTCTGCCATTCCTTCTACATTTATTAGCTGGCATTTTTCCGTAAAGAACAGCTCACTTTCTTTTATCCTTCTTTGTCTCTCTCATGTCTTTCCTGCATGCCCCTGTAACTCTTTCATGTATCCACCCTGTCTGCAAGAGAAGCTTGGGAAGTATCTGGCCAAGGAGGGTGAGATTTCCATGACTGGACTGGACCTTCCATAGAACTGGGCACTTTGTTATTCAAAACAAGATGGGATTCAGTTTGCAAATGAGAAAGAGGGAATTGCTCTTGGCTAGACAGCTATCCATGCCTCCCATATTAAGAGGGACAGAAAAATATGAACATGTAAATACTTTGTTATGCAATGTGATACAATTGAGTTTTTGTTTTTTCTTTTTTCTGTTGTTTTTGAAACGGAGTCTCACTCTGTCGCTCAGGCTGGAGTGCAGTGGCGCGATCTTGGCTCACTGCAACCTCCGCCTCCTAGGTTCAAGCAATTTTCTTGCCTCAGCCTCCTGAGTAGCTGGGACTACAGGCACATGCCACCATGCCCAGCTAATTTTTTGTTTTTTTAGTAGAGATGGCATTTCACCGTGTTAGCCAGGATGGTCTCAATCTCCTGACCTCGTGATCTGCCTGCCTCGGCCTCCCAAAGTGCGGGGATTACAGGTATGAGCCACCACAACTGGCCTCCAATTGAGTTATTTATAAAATATTATGGGACAAAGACCACACACATTCACAAAACCCCGTTAGGCATTACCACCACCACCGCCACCACAGGAATGCAGTTAAGCCTTAATGTTCATCAAAAGATGATTGGTGAAATAAACTATCATACATCCATACTCTACAGCCAAGAAAAATGTCCCTCTGTTTTTATTTTACAAGGAAAGATGGTCACAACATATTATTGGACCAAAATTTAGGTTATATGACAGTGTGTATAAAGCAGTACGATTATTTACTTATCCCCATTTTACAGATGTGGAAGTTGAGGTTGAGGACAGAACCTTGGAGGGCAACCACATACGTCAGGGAGGACAGAAGATTCTATAGGGGGAGGAATGAGAAGAAGCGGGGGAGGAGTGACAAGAAGGGAGGGAGGAGGGTCCATACATGTAGGCACACTGCCTGTGAAGCCAAGGAGACAAAGGACAGTTGGGAAGCAGCAGTGTGGTGGCCAGACTCCAAAACACGGGGCAGAGAGAGGTAAGCAACTTGGTAGAGAGCAGTCTCAACAAGGCTAAATTCAGAAGCCAGAGCCTGGGACATGAAGGGGACATCCAGCCTTCATGGATGGGTGGGATTCTTAGGAAGCAGAAGGACTAAAATTCTGTATCCAAAAGGCAAGATCAGATGGTAAGTAACAGGCTATTTAAACATAGGTAGAAGGCTGGGCACGGTGGCTCACACCTGTAATCCCAGCACTTTGGGAGGCTGAGGTGGGTAGATCGTTTGAGGTTCAGGAGTTCCAGACCAGCCTGGCCAACATGGTGAAACCCTGTCTCTATAAAAAAATATAAAAATCAGCCGGGCAGTAGTAGCACACACCTATAACCCTAGCTACTCAGGATGCTGAGGCAGGAGAATTGCTTGAGCCTTGGAGGCAGAAGTTGTGGTGAGCCAAGAGCATGCTAGTACACTCCAGTCTGGGCAACAGAGTGAGATCCTATCTCAAAATAAATAAATACATAAATAAACATAAAGTAGAAGACCCAAGCCTGTGTGAAGGGGGAGAGATTGAACATGTAGGTGGGGGAGGAAAGGGTCAGGATAGAGAAGGGAGAAGACACAGGGACTGTTCTTTGAAGCTCTTTGCTTCTGCCTCTGTAACTGTTGTTCGTTATGCTTTATTTATTCATTTGTTCATTGTCCCAACAAATATTTTCAGCACCTTCTGGGCACCAGGTATCATGATTGCTCATGTATCTGTCTCTCCAACTAGTTGTAACAAGCCTTGATGGTAGGATCCATGGAATGGCAGAGGCTAAGGTTGGAATACAGGTCTTTTTACTTACTGGTTCTGTAACGATGGACTACTAAACTATTTTTGCCTTTTTAAGGCCACAGGTAGGTCTGGCTATGGGGCTAAGTTCTAGCCATGGAATAAAAATGGAAGGGTTATTTGCACATCGCTTACTGACCCTCAGTGGTTTTGTTGCACTTCAGTAATTTGATAGTATTTCCTACTTTGTAGGGTTGTATTGATCAAATAAAATAAGATCTGTATAGACTTTTTACAGAACTAGGCCCACAGGTAGGTCATTGTATCAGTTATAATTAAGTTTGTCCTAGAATGACAGAAAAACTCAAACAGTGGCTAAAATTTATTACAATTTCTTTTCTCTCATTTACAAGGAGTCCAGTAGATATGGACGTTCATAGTGTCAGGGTCTCAAGATCCTTTTATCGTATTGCTCCACTAGCCTCAGCCCATGATTTAGCTTCCTAGTACAAAATGGCTGCTCCAGTTCCAGCCATGAGGTCCACATTCCATCCAGTTCAAAGCAAGATGAGTCCAAAGAAATGCATTTCTTCTGGAAGTTGCAAATAACCCTTCCACTCCATGGCCAGAAGTTTTTTCAAGTTCAGAACTAGTTAAAAATAAATTCATATAGAATATCCAGGATTAAGTTTACAGCTTATATGTTTCTGAAATAAACGATATTCTTATTTAATAAAGAAATTTGTATTAGGGCAAGTTATCATAGTAAAAATTTTTTGTCAGGAGGAAATTTGTAACCATGTGTTAGCAGTTACGTTGCTAAATACATCCACTTTTTATTGTTTAAGATTGTTGAGAAGCTCATCATGCTTTTTATTACAAAAGTGGTTCTCAAAGTTTTGTCTACAGATAAAAACGGTGCCTTAAAACACACCTGTGCTGTTAGACATCAGGGCAGGGTTGCTCTTAAGGCAGTAGGAGAGTGACTGAGCAGGGGTGTGAGGCAGCTTCTAAGGAGCTGGCAGTGTTCTCTTTCTGAATCCGAGTGCTGGTTACATGGGCATGCTCACATGAAAATTTCTTGAGCTGCATGCTTAGAATCTCTGCTCTCAGTTTGTATCTTATACTTCAATACATGTTTTATAAATGGTCATGCAGATCCATCAGTTTACAGGACATACAGAACATTGAGGACGTGTTAATCACTCCAGCCTTTTTCCATATATCTCTGTGTTTTCCTCCCAGGGAAATGAAGAATATTGATCAAAAAGCAGCAGATAAAAAAAAGGCAAACCACATGTTCATCCCACCTTCTGCCTTCAGTGAGGAATCACCTGACAAGAAAACTAAGGGAAGTTTCCAAAGAGAAATTGAGTTTAAGGTTTGTTTGAACAAAAACCATGGGAAATGTAGAAATACAAACAGTGTAAGAATAAGAATTGGTTTCTTTTGAGACAGAGTCTCACTCTGGCGTCAAGGCTGGGTGCCGTGGTGCCATCATAGCTCACTGCAGCCTCCACCTCCCAGGCTTAAGTGATCCTCCCACTTCAGCCTCCTGAGTAGCTGGGACCACAGGTGTGTGTCACCACGCCCAGCTCATTTTTATCTTTTGTAGAGATGGGGGGGTCTCACTATGTCGCCCAGTCTATAAAATTCTTAAAACATAGAAAAGAGCATATAAAAGTTCACTTATGGCCAGATGCAGTGGCTCACGCCTGTAATCCCAGCACTTTGGGAGGCCAAGGTGGGCGGATCATGAAGTCAGGAGTTCAAGACCAGCCTTGTCAATATAGTGAAACCCCGTCTCTACTAAAAATACAAAAATTAGCTGGGTGTGGCAGCATGTGCCTGTAATCCCAGCTACTCAGGAGGCTGAAGCAGGAGAATCGCTTGAACCTGGGATGCGGAGGTTTCAGTGAGCCGAAATCGCACCACTGTACTCCAGCCTGGAGACAGAGCTAGACTCCATCTCAAAAAAAAAAAAAGTTCAATTCCTTTTATGAATTACCCACACCACTCTGATTTTAGTTTTAGTATTATTACTGGTAGTAGTAAGGGCTATTAATGATTTTGTACTTCCTCTGTACCAAGCATTGGCCCATGTACTTTATGAACCGTATGAGACGGAGCTCCTTGGTTGCACATGCCAGGAAGCCAGCTCAAACTAGCTTAAGTGGAAGGAGAATGTAGGAGCTTAAATAATTGGGAAGGCCATGACAGGCCATCTGCAGGCATATTTGACCTAAGGACTCAGCATTTTCGGGCTCTTTCTCTGTCTGTCTCTTGACCCTCTTCCCTTCTCTGTGCTGACTTCTTTTTCAAGCTGCCTCTGCCTCCGGGCCATGGACAGCCCAAGTTGATCACCTTACAGTTCTGACCTAAAAGGCCATGTTTGCTTTGCTGGGGTAGATGGAGCAGTTCCCAAAAAAAAGGTAGATGGGAAATTATTTGAGTCTTTGCATGTCCAAAATATCTTTGTTCTTTTTTTTTTTTTTTTTTT